ACAGTTTTGCTACAGTTGCCTTCAGAAAAAAAAAAAAGGTACTGCATCGCAGTTCTGTTGCACACATGACCCGGACAAACACTGGCATTGAAAAGAAATGCTTAACATTACATGAACTGGGTAAGCTTTCGAGAAAGTCTTTGACAATTGTTTTGAACACACAGGCTGATCTGCTTTATTCTACACTGGTACACTGAAAGTGGCAGGCAAACACCTAATCTGCCAGTTGTTTTCTTCAGCAAAGACAACAGGCAAATAGTCTTTAGACAACAGATCTTGGCTTGCTGTTTTCTAGTCTGGGTGGTTTCCCTTAGAATCATTTTTTCTTCCCTTCCCCACATTCACTAACTGCTCTTCTGCATGTATTTCTAACTATAGTAAAACCCAGGTTGAAGAAAACATCAGAAAGGTTTTCCATTAGAAACAATTTAAGAACTAACTGTATTTGTTGAAGGGAACACAGTCCATTCTTAATTCTTTGATATTTGTAGTGTCATTCAAAAACATGTTTGTATGGCCTAATGATAAAATACTCCAGAAAATTTAATTTCTACCATTTGCGTTTGCTGAGAGAAAGCTATTGGAATCACAGAAGACAGCGTATCTCGTTCTATTCCACCTCACCTAAAAGTTCACGAGAAAAAGCACATGTGGAGCCCTGTGGAGATTCTAGGCAAACAAAACAAATCCCAAAGAGCAGGTTTCATCCATACATTAAATAGCCTTACAGTCTCTGAGAGCAGGGAGATCAAAGGTACTTCTGCCTTTTCTTCCTGCCCTATTCCACTCAGTCCCCCTCCTGCCACTGCCAAGGGGGGGAGGGGAGGGCTAGGCTACAGCTACCCAAGAGAAACATTGTATTGATAACATTTTTAGCCATGCAACCTGAACCTGTTTCGGTGTTGCTTTGAAAAAGCAGACAACTCATTTTCTCATTTCCATGCAGCAAAGAACAGAAGGAGGAAAAAAATCTTCATAACTCAGAAGTCACATACAGAATATTCCATGCAACTATATATACAAACCTACCTTGGAAATGTGCCTCTAAAAGGCCTTCTGGGTATACCTGTGATACTAGATTACCTCATTCCATGGCTCTGACACATCTTGACACGCATGGAAGTGCGGAAACAGTAAAGGGTTCAGGCTTTGTGACAAAATCTCATACTCAGCCAAGGCTAATCCAGGTGCTAGTCATTATGGCTAGCAGTATAACAGTTATATTGTTCTGCAGCCTTCCTCTCCTCCCTCCTCCCCCATTTTCAGGTGCACCTGATAAATCAGGCCAAAATTGCTATGTAGTTTAGCCACGTGTGACAACTTTGGTGAAAAATTGCTTGCCCTGACCTAACAATTACAGCATTTTCTGGAGAACTTTTACAGTGTTTTCAGATTTCTAGAACAATCTCATCCATAAAATGCAGTTAGGACAGGTTTAGACTTCAAGTCATGACACTATCCATGTTTGTAATCTTCAAAAAGGAACTTAACTTGATGGTAAGAAAGCCTTTAAAATAAAATTTCCAATAGGGCAATGATCCATAACCTAACAAAGAATGTTTGACAAACAGTTTAACTACACCTGACCTGAACAGGCTCACATTTAACAGTGAAGGTGACAAAGTCAGGGGGGTGAGGACACAACCAAAACCAAACTAAAGCAAAAAACCCCCACAAAAACAAAAACAACCACCAACAACCAAAAAACCCCCAACAAACACCACCACCCCACCACCCCCCCCCAAAAAAAAAACACACAAAGTCAGGGAATACTTAAAGGTAGATAGATACCTGTAGAGCTGACCTTATCACCTCCACTCTTCCAGTATATTGCAAAAGCAGTCACAACCTCAGAAGTAAGCGACTTACACCATATCCTAAGCTTATCACAAGCCTGACTTTCCAGGGTATAAGCAAAATGAGCAGTAAAACCAATGGTGGCCCCCTTGCCCTCTTCGCCCTCTCATTTAAACAGCATGCTGTCTTAAGCAACTGCCTTTTTCTTACCTTTGTACAATGTCAGAAATAGGGCTGGGTCTAGACAACATAAAAGAAAAATATGTGTCTATATCTAAAAGCATAAAACCTCACCAACAATAATTCCACACACTGCACGCAAAAGACTAAAAATCCCTCATGAGATTGAGTTTGGAGGCAAGTTAATTTTGTTCCACTTCAAAAGACAGTCAGTTTATTGATAACTGTCAACTAAAAATAAAAGTCACCAATTAAATTAAAAGTATTATTAAAGTAATAGGGTCCATCTGAAGTATACCTCCCATTTACATGGGGTAAAAAAGGATTTTATGTACCTTCTCTTAACTAGATGCAGCATATAAAATCAGAGTGGAAATATATTCCATAGCAGATTTAAATCAGTAGCAGTTAAATTCTTTCACAATTGCCTCTTCCCTAATACGCTACATTTAGAAACATCAATAGATCTAGCCAGAGAAAAAAAAAGCACACAGGCATGCTGCCCCAGCATTCAGGTTTAAATATTCTTCACCACCCTCTCATATCCTTGGCATAAAGAATACTGTTCTTCCCCTCCCCCTCACCTCCATTTTTAGTATAAAAACAAGTCGGAAGAATATTTAAGGTATTTCTAAATATTCATAATCAAAAAGCTTCCACGAACATAATTGCAGAATATCCTGCATCATATAGTCATTCAAGATCACCTCTTCGAGGGAGGCTCATTTAAATGCAGGAGTTGAAGCAACCTCCAGTGTCAGACTGTAGTCTCCAATATCATTTTACATGCTACCAATGGCTTGATTTTGCAGACAAATATAACCAAGACACCCTTTCTTTCTCAGGGTTCTTAAAAAAAAAAACCACCCAAAAAAACCAAAACACCACACACCAAACACACACCCAAACCTTTTCTATGCAACTGTAACAGAAATTATTCTTGAAGGTTTTGACTGTGATTTCTTGTCTATTATTAATGAAAAAAAAGCCCACGATCAAAAGATAACGTTCTATTGTAAAACAGATTTCCTTCTCCTTCCTACCCTGTGTTTTGTCTCAACTATACATTAGTCTCAGTGATACTATGCAAAAAATTGATAAGCAGACAATGCAAACTTCCAAGTTAATAAATCCAAAGCCAGGATGAACAGGGGTTTCAAATGAAAAAATTAAAAAAAAAAAAAACAAACCCCAAACCCAAAAAACCACAACACAAAACCGAACCCAAAACCCACACAACTCATATGCCAAATAAAAGCAGACTGGAAACAGCACACTGTCATCAGGAAAGGTACTAAAAGTGAGGCTGAATACTGGGTTTATTCTGTCTGCTATCACTTCCCCTATCCCTCAACCTCTGTCTTCACATCACAGCAGCAAATCTATTGGTATTAATAAAAAAAAAAAAATAGTAGTAGTAAGAGTTGAATGAAATTCTGAACAACAATCAGTTAAACAGCCCATTACAACAACTGCTAACAGTAAATACAATTACTGTATGCTATCAATTACAGTCTAGTTAAAAAAAAAACCACACACAACAAAAACCACCAAAAAAAAACCAACCCGCAATTTTGTCTGTTTCCTCTAAACGCAAGCTCTAATGCTGGGGCTTTCACTCAGATACCATTTGTTACTATGAAGCTATCTTGTATTTATATTTAGAACACACATCTTTGTCTCATGTGTAGCAGCTCATTATAAGTCAGAAATATTTCACAAGAAAATATTTTTACAATAGTGAAAATAAGCTTAAAATTCTATCGTGTCTGTTTTAACTGTATTATAGATACTATATAGCTAGACATTACTGTCTCTCACACTTCCAGATTTGTTTCAGTTTTGCCTTGTTATTCCAGAGAGAATCCAACATGATATTTTCTGTTAACTTTTAGATAAAAGATTTAAAGGCAGAATCAGGTTTTTTGTTTTCTTAACAGGTTAAAGAGGAAGGAGATACTGCCTGAATAAAAGAGATTGATTTAAAACTGTGTTGACTGGATGAGCTGACAAAGTGGGAAGCTTCTCTTTTAAAAGAAAACCTGACTGTGCTTGAGAGGAGCAGAAACCAGAAACAGAACCAACTTTAGAACCAGACAAAGAGGACTCTGGGAATTATGTCAACCTCAGACAACATCCCCACCCATATTCACCCCATTCATACCCCAGAATCACTAACACCTACAGTGGTATGTGACCTCAGGGGAAAAAAAAAATTCTCATCTCCATCCCTCAGCAGCACAGTTTCATTGCAGCTACGAGAAATGGATAAGAGGCATGGAAATCAACCTTTTATTTGCAGTATTTCTCATACCTTTCCTTATTACGAGAGACAAGAGAAGTCACCTCTGAAACTTACCGAGGCTACAGGATGATCAGAAGGAGAATGCAGATAACAAGGTCTTTGGAACCGCCTCAGTATCAGAAAAACCCAGATGAATGGCAGATGGGACCATTCTAGCCCAGGTATTTCACCCACGCACCCCCTCTACCCAGGCTGAGAAACTGAAGGTCAGACGATTCTAAACACAAATCCATAGCGACCCCAAGCCTCTCACTGTTACATGAGGAACCTCCACGCAAACTCACCCTACTTAGATATGCATCACACAGCGATACGGGAAGCCTTCAGCTCAACACACTGGTCCCCCACCACCGCCTCGGGAATGCCCTCTTCTAACGACACTCGGCGCTAAAGTTACAATGGTTCGAAAGAGGTAAAGGCATTTACACGCTGCCCTGGGAATCCCCTCATCCCCAGCCCTGGGATTACTCCTCACACACAACCCGTCTTACGCTCCCCTTCCTCCTCCCCTCAGGGAGACACATCCATATTGGGGAGGGGGGCGAGAGAGAGAGAGAAGAGAGCCGCCCCTCAGGGCCACCCCAAGCTGCTCCCTTCCCCGGCAAGGGGCAGCCCTCCCTCCCCCATCCCAGTCCCACCCCAGCGCTAGAAGCAGGGGAACAAGAACTAGAACTCTCCTCCCTCCACTCGTTACTCCCTCCCTCCAAACCCCACTCACCTGGGAAAGGAGCCAAAGCTCAGCTACGTCTCCTTCTCCCCGTCTCCCCCACACTCAGCCTCTCGCCGCCATTTTCCTCGCTGCCTAGATTTAAATAGGAACCAGCCTCCCCGAGAGGAGCCACCGGGTGGCGCGAGGCATTGCGGGACCTGTAGTACGGCCCCGCGCGGGCGCCCATGGGACCCGCCCCCCTCTCCGCGCGGGGCACCACGGTACTTGTAGTACCCCCTCGGGCTCGGCGGTTTTCTGAGCCACCGCTCCCAGCGGCCCTTGCGGCCGCCGCCCAATCGCAGCGGCGAGGGGCGCCGCCCGTTTTCTCCCGCCGCGGCCCGGCCGGTCGGGGCCGGGGCTCGGCCTGGCCCCCGCTCCTCGCTACCGCCGCTGCTTTCCAGCGCTGTCCCCAGAAGGACAGTCCCAAACGGGGTCGAGGAAGCGGTGCCGTGGGAAGCTCCCCGTGCCAGGCCCCCCTGCAGTGCGCCCAGCCATGCCGCTGGTAGAGGCCCATCGGTTAAACGCGAGGCTGGCACTCGCCGTGCCCGGCATCAAGCGCTGCAGCTGTGAGCGGCCCACGGAGTCGCAGCAATGCCGTATTTAATAAAGAGCGGTTTATATGCATGGAGGATTACAATACAATAAGGCATCAGCCCTGCACACAGCACTCAATCACAACACTGAGGTGAAAGGTACAGCTAAATAATGTTGGAGGAGCATTTGCTACACCAAGCACCATTTTTTCCCATCTCAATAAAGAAAAAATCAGTCTACTAAAGTGAATGTCTAATAAAACGCAAACAGGTTGGGATAAAAGTTAAAAAGAACATAAATAGCTTCAGGTACCTATCAAAGATGGTTTTCAAACTAACTCATAATAGCAGTTCACTTGCCATCTGTAAAAAAGCAAAGCAAGGATATGAAGGACTGGGGACTTACAGAATTTAACCTTCCTAAGCCACAGTTTGCTTGCATAAATACTATTTTCATAAACTTTTTTAGAACGAGTATTTAAAACTTTGCAGACGAAAACGGGGTGTGTGGAGAACATGGCATACCTCAGTTTTAGGTACTCATAAAGCAGCCATATAAAAATGCTCTTTTTATTTTGAAAATTTATGGAGTGTGAAATAATGAAAATGCATGGATTTAAGTCCTGCCAAGCTATCCATACAGAGCTCATTACAGCCTCATAGCCACAATTAGTATTCAACATGGACAGACAAGTAAAGACATTAAGTACACCTTCCAGTAATTCCCAAATTAAAAAATAAGTCAAACTAGTGTTGGGCACCTATGAGCAAGCTACTGGTACAATATGAGCCTCCAGCTACCTCCGAAACGAGCATTACAAAAACCAAAAAAATCCAGAGAGAAAAGAAATTCAAATATGTCAAGTTCTGGAAAAACAAGCTCCACCTTAGATTTTACCTTGCAGTTACACTACACAAGAACTTACCAGTTATAAATGTCTGTTTGTACTTACGAACTCAGATTTAACCAACTGGTAAAGACAGGTTCCCTATCATGTCATCACAACAGAAGAGAGCTCATGTTGTTAGGGTACCTTAAGAGGGATGAAGTCCTGTTGCACTTCCTGAAAGTGTGAGGTCTGCTGTTTAACAATTCCACTTGTTCCATTCCAGGTAATCTTTTTCTGCAGGTTGTTCTCTTCTTCCACTATGAATTATAACAGAGCATTTATCAGGGCAAAACCAAAGGAGATGTGCAGGGAGGAACTGGTTAATGAGAGGCAGCAGTAACATTGGAGTTCAGTTATGTTGTGTTTCTTTTATTTGGGCAAACTGCACATTATTCATATTTCTGCCATTAGACCATGAGGTCTTCAAATTATACTTACATTGCATCTATGACACCTTAGACTCAAGACTGATACAGAAGTTCAAGTGTCAATAGAGTACAAAGATTGTGTATTTTTTTTCCCTTTTAACCTTTGGTTTCTGTTATAGCAATTATAAACAAGTAACTTCAAAGTCAGCTCTGACTTATTATATAATGAAGGATACAGTGATAAAGCGTTTTCATTTTTCATTGATATGTGATGCTCTACAAAAATTAATAAGATCCCCCCCAAGTTTTTGTACTTGTCTTAAAAGCTGATCAAAGTGAACGTAGCTGTAGAACTGTAACATTTTTATCTATTTGCTCCACCTGCTGGTGCGTATCCCTTTTAAAGCAGTCTTTAGAAGCCTCAATGTATTAAAAATTTGGCCAAAGATGTACACAAGAGACATACTTGACTTTAAGCTGAACTTATGTAACGTACTAATTAAATCCAATCTGATCCCAACATTTTCTCAGTCAAAAAAAGGCCAATGGAAGCACAGACTTAGGGAAACATGGCCCATAGCTGACTTTTTGGACGCTGCCATTCATTTTTATTCTGACAATAATATCATCTTCCATCACCTATTATTCTTCTCCAAAAAATGTTTTCTCTTCCACGTGGGCATCTCTGCATAACTGATTTGTCTCCTCAATTTTCCAAGATCAATTTCTGTTTGGACAATTAGTGCAAGAAAAACATCCTGTTTCTTCAGCCCATTTAACTGTTCTCTGCTCAGGGACAGAAAAAACCCACTATGATCAACAAGCACTCTTTATAAGAAGTTTTACATGAGCTTATTTCTTTCTCCATTCCATCTACTGATATGATTTTTTTTTAAATTTATTTTTTGAAGTCTTTTGCAAAGAAATAGTAACAACATCCCCATAAAAAACCCAAACAACATCATTTCTAGGCTATGACATTTTCCAATAATACTCTGGGACAGAAGTAGCTTTCCCCTCTGCTCCCCCAATCCTAAAATCCGCCCCCCCCCCCACCCCCCAAATCTTTGGTATTGGATTTTTTTTATATTCATAAAGAAATTTTATTTTTGGGTTCCTTGTTCTAAACAGGTTAAGCAAGAACTAATGTTTGTCACATTACTACCACGTTTTCTGGGACTGAACTGGCACTTTTTGATGACTGCAAAATTTTACTTGCTTTAACTTCTGTATTATTATTTTGATATCTTTTCTGTACACTAACTGATAGTTTGCAGCAGATTGATTGCAGACTGCTTGCCTGGAGTTGGCGAGAATATCTGGTGTACAAAAGACCCTGAAATTACCATATAGACATCACAGGGACTGAAAAGTTGTTCTGGCATTGAATAAGCAGCAAAGAAAACCAACGCTGATAGGAAATGGGTAAAAGTATTGAAGAACTGGAGTGTATTTTGATTTTTTTTTTTAAATAAATCCAAAGTACATACATACCTTCTTCCTAGTCTAGCAATCCAGTCTGTGTGGCTAATCTGCCTAACTGACCAGACTGTCAAGAGTAACTGGTTTAGCATAATAATAAAACAGATTATTTAATGGCAACAAAGGAAATTAAACAAAATTATAGAGTAAAAAGAGATGCATCAGAAATACATCATTAGAGATTGTTTTTTTTTTTTAAATGGAGAAAGTTTTCTTTAGCAATATCTTATCAAGTGAATAATCAGAACCTCACATACACTGAAAACATGGCTCTTGTGCTATGGATTATTGATTATACATTAAACAATCAACAAATCCTCATGTAAAACAGTGTGAAACAAAATGTAAAACAAACTGTAGTGTTTCAGCAGAATAATTTATGATCTTTTCAGCAGCTTTCACTAAACCATAATTTAAGCTTATACAATGATTAAATTAGATTCATGCAAATCAATTTTTCATAATGCATTTTTAAAAACAACACATTCCAATGCTAATTGTTTAACCAGAAAAAGGACAGACAAGTCAATTAACTGAAATAAAAATACATCTTAAGGGGAATTAAAAACAAACCAGTGTATTTGTTGCAGTCAGACAGTCACACATTAGTCAACGTAATCTGGAGTAGTACATTGCTGGTTTCACTGAAAGAGTAACTGTATATAAGAATTTTAGGGCATAATTGTAACAAAGAAATGTTACAACAACATTAGTTGATAAACATTTCTCCTTGCTCATGCTCAGTAAATTCATAAGCTCAGTTCCATCTACTGAAGCTTAAAGCTAAGCATCTAAAATTTCATAGTTTACAATATCAGTGTTGTTTCACCCATTTCTGTAACTACTAGAAATTTTTTGTGGTAAAAGTCAACATTCATATGGTTTAAGAAAGGCAGTACCTATGTGCTTTCAATTTAAGTAGATGCAGCAGCCTATTTTAACATTAAGAAACATTGCCTCCTCCATCCCAATTCATTTATCAACAAAATAATGAAGTTAATTACAGTTACATAGTATTCAACAAGACTGAGCATTTAGAAGTTACAGCATTTTTCAGAACTTGCTTAAAACTCCAGCTCCCAGACAAGATCCTGCATTTTCAGAACCTACTCTGAATGATTTCAGTTTTCAGTGGACTTGAACAGCAGCAGGTGAGAGCAACACTATTGTCCACATCACTATGTCACCATACAACCTCCACTCTATTCCACTTCATGTGGCCAACTCAAAACCTCAGTAAGAAAAGAACATAAAATGTAGCGGCTAAAGAAGGTTTTTTGTTACTCTGCTTTTAAAACCAAGACAATCTGTTCATTCTTGTCATACAGTTCAAAAACAGAGATGCAGATTTGTAACGTAATCTTTTCTGCACTGTCTAAAAGATGCCCTTCCTTTTATCTTTAAAAGAATGCTCAGGAGATAAACCAACTCTTACATACCCACTAGGAGGAAAGGAAGTTTAAAAGTTAGAGGACCTAATTTTGGTTTCGCAACAAAGCAGTCGGGAAACTGCACAGTAATATTGTATATTTTGATGTGCACATAACTACTTGCAAAGGACCTCTGACATATGAATTAAGTTTACAATTAGATCGTGACAAGATACAACATACTTGTATCATGTATCAGCAACATTTCAGTTGCTCTGAAAGTCTTATGATTTACATAAATTAAAATCTTAAATTAAATATAAAGAGAGCTTAATAGGATCATTCATTACAATATGACATCACTAGGGAACATGCCTCAACATCTGTGCTGACAGATTTTATGCAACTTCAGCAAAGGCTACATGGTTGAAACAGGA